TTTTTACACTCCACTCATATAGCTAATACAATGCTCCAAAGTCAATCAGATGCCCTCAGGGACAGAAATAAAGCAGGTCAGCCATAGTCGCGCCTGTTATGGCTTTGTAGCCAATGGGGAGCATAAAAGCAACCCCCCACCCTCATTGTATAATACTTTAAGTCAAGGAGAAGCAACATTTGTTTTCTAGGTCAGTTGTGGCCTCAGGTCGGTTTTGTGGCTATTAATGTTCCCCTTTGTCGCTATTACCAACATTTCACCACTAAAATTAATGAAAATGCTGTTACCTTGGTAACCAGCCCCTCAGAAATCTCTGATGGTGCTGCAGCAAACGGTCTTTGGCCTTTGGGAATGAGTGGAGACACTCTGGTCCACCAACTGGCAGTCCTCTCTATGGTACAGAAGGGTTCTGTAAGCAACAGTCCCCTCTACTCTTCTATTTCTTGTGGGTATTCCACACAAAGAGATTCTCATGGGAACTGGTGTTTTGTTTTAGAGGTTTCATCTCCCATTGAACATGTCCTTTTCTTCATCGTCCTCCTCCTACCTGCCCCCTTTCATTTTTGCAGCAATAGATTAACCGGGCCACTTCGCTCAAAACGGGTAAACCTGGGTCCAGCAACATGGTTGTGTGAATCGTGCAAACAAAACTTGGATGTAACTTATATCTACAACCCTCCCTGCCCAACTCACTCTCTCTGATGGTAATATGAGCCAGGCAAGGCTAATCTTCCTATAATCTCTGACTGAAGATATAGACGGGATTATATCCTATCTCACGTACCTTCCCAATTCAAATGCAAGGGCAGCGGAATATTGCTATTATTTTTGTTCTGTTGCCAATAGTAACAACAAGATTCTCCTTGGCCTCATAATACTTATGTGCCCAGTACTTCTCTGTATGTTTTGTGTCGGTATAGCAGCCCTTGGGAAGCACAAGCAAAAGGATCCTCCCCCTTGGTTTCTACAGCAATGTTTGCTTCAGACCGATGTTGGCCCCCATGAACTACTAAAAGCCATCATATGTTATTTCCTGTGGGATTGTAAGAGATGGGCATGAACTGAGCCACGAACTGGAACAACCGGGCTGGTTCAAGGTTTGGTTCACAACCTACCCGCTCAGGGATCCTATTGTGATGAAGCAAAGCGAAACACCGAACTTCCTTCCCCACATACACTTGGTGCTTCATTTTGCTTTGCCAAATGGATGCCCGCCTGCCCCCTTCCCAGTGCCCCCACCACCTCCGAACCTGGTCTTACCACTGACAGCATCTCCACCACCCTTAGAGGCAACAGGCCTGGATCCTTGCAGGGAACCCAGCCCCCCTGCCTCTGCGCATGATCCCGCCACTCAGCGGGTAGGTGGGCAGATGGGCGGAGGAAGCAGGCCTGGCTTTCTGGCAATGAATCTTTCCTCGTTCCAAAGCAAATCTAGTTTTTTGGGTTTTTTACGTATCACTTCCTTTTTATGAAGCTCTTCTGTACAATATATTATTCTCTCATGCGACCGTGGTCTGTCTTTTGAATCCTGTGTGTTTAATAAAACCTTAATAGACAATTCGGTCTAGATGCAAGTTACGTGGCCCAGTATTTCTAGATAAATGAATGCCAAAGTTCAAAGAGTATATATAGGACATGTAGGATATTTCAACCATGGGAGCATGCTGGCGAACAATGACGGAAGCAAAATGAGCTGCAGGGAACATTATTGTAACATGCAGTACTATAGTAGATGTACCAATCCTTTTGGTGAAATTAAATAAAAGCTGGGTTATAAAGCTTGTACAATTAGACAACATGGGATCTTTCCCATCGATAAGGTAATCTACTATCATTATAAAGGACATGGTAGCACTAGGGTTAAACCGCAGAAGCCCCTCTGCTGCAAGGTTGGAAGACCAGCGTCATAAGCTCAAATCCATGTGATGGAATGAGCTCCTGTCGCTTGTCCCAGCTCCTGCCAACCTAGCAGTTTGAAAGCATGTATAAATGTAAGTAAATAAATAGGTACCACCACGTTGGGAAGGTCACAGTGTTCCGTGTCTAGTCGCGCTGGCCACGTAACCACGGAAACTCTATTCGGACAAACACTGGCTCTACGACTTGGAGACGGGGATGAGCACTGCGCCCTAGAGTCAGACACGACTGGACTGAATGTCAAGGGGAACCTTTACCTTTACCTTACTATCATTATTTCTGATTTGTACTTCAGTACAATTCTCCTCCTTCAATCTCTCATTAAGTTTGTCTTAACTGACTTGAAAGATCATGTTCTTAAACCTCTGCATAACCAAGTCCACTGATTTGTCAGTGATTGTCTGGATTTACCCTTTTTGGGGTTGGATAAATACATCTGTGAAAAACACAGGCTTCTGTTTTCTTCCTGGAGGTCTATAAAGTGTTTTTCAAATTTTATTTACTTATTAGAAGATAATTATCTACTTAATAGAAAATAAACAGAAAAACAACTACACACCCCAAAATATACAACTAAACTAACACATAGCATGACTTAAAAACAATAGATAACACAACCAGCTTAATGATACTTAACATTCACAGTTAATCCAATGAGTTTCACCAGAACCAATAAGGTTACATTTAGTTTTCCATTTAATATAAGGGAGCCCATTATTCCCTCCAGAATTGCAATGCTTCTTACGAAGTTAAATGTCTTTTCCCTTTTATTCATACAAATTTTATACAGTCTGAATGTTAACAGAGCATTCACGTCTTTCTGAAGGTTCATGTTCTGCCTTTTCCCACCAATATTAAATCATACCAATGGCTTCTCTGTTTTAGATTACTACCCACCTCATTTCCTTTTGTTTTGTAGCTGAAGGCTTCAAATCCTGTCTCATCTGCCATGATTTCCATAATATGCTGTGGCCTAAGGACCATGTTACCAATGTACGTATATGACACCATCTGCTGGAAGAACCATATCATAGCTTCACAGCTGGATCTCCTTTGAGGCTGCCAGATCTGCGCATTCATATGTTGCTGTCTGGTCTCAGTAGTTCCTGGGAAAGTTTTTTACTGCTCACGTGGCACACACCAGCATGGCCGAATAACAAGATGCAGACCAGAATGCACACAAGTCTCTAAAAACCCTATCACAACATTCCGAATGATGTCCAGCTACTGTACAAAAGGGGTTGTTACAACCTGTGACCAACGTGTGTTGCACAATAATCATTTAATTGAAAAGCTCTGATTATGGAAATAAAATTCATCTGGGCAGCACCATAGCACCAAAATCTGTTCCCCAAGACAAATAGAAATTTAAAACAAATCACGCCTTGCATGGGGACAGAAACCCAGAAAGTGACATATTTTTTGCCACTGTTTTAACTGAGAAAAGAATTACATCGTGTGGCTGGTGGGAGAACTACGATAGGATCAGTGATTAACCCTTTGACGTTTTATTTTTGTTATGTGTCGGTTCAGTCTTCCCTGCCAGGAGCAGCCTGTGTGCTCTTTGGTTGGGGCGATATTTGCACACAGTTGAAGGAATCGACATTGTTCATGTATTGATGCAGATGATATCAACTGAAAAACCACGTGACAGTCACATGGTTTCAAATCCATGTTTGTGTTCTGTTGGGCAGGGCAGATCTTCAGCTGATTGGTACCGCCCAGCAAGCCAGAGACACAGTGGAGCTGAATCCCCCAGCTGGGAGCTGAAGGAATGCCCTCTGTATTAATAGAAATCAAGCCCCATTGGCCCATTTTGTTCAACTGCAAGTTTATAGTGCAACACTTCCGAAAGTGAAGGATTTGCTGGCTGTATGACATTCCCCGGGAGACACTCGAATATTCATAATGCTTTCCCACTCTTTGGCAAGGCTTCTTCTGTGTGTCCCCTCAGAACAAATCTGTATCTGGTCCATCTGGAAGTTACTTAAAATTTGAAGTCAAGTAGGAACAGAAGACTCTTGAGAGTCCCCTGGACTGCGAGGAGAACAAATCTATCCGTTCTGAAGGAAATCAACCCAGAGTGCTCACTGGAAGGACAGATCCTGAAGCTGAGGCTCCAAGATTTTGGCCATCTTGTGAGAAGAGAAGACTCCCTGAAAAAGCCCCTGATGTTGGGAAAGTGTGAAGGCAAGAGGAGAAGGAGACGACAGAGGATGAGATGGTTGGACAGCGTCATCGAAGCGACCAACATGAATTTGACCCAACTCCAGGAGGCAGTGGAAGACAGGAGGGCCTGGCGTGCTCTGGTCTGTGGGGTCATGAAGAGTTGGACACGACTCAATGACTAAACAACAACAGTGTTGCTTTCCCCCAGTGTCCCTTGTTTGTTCTCACCAAACATAGGTCCACCCTCAGGATACATTGCCTCTTTTTACGCTGCCACCAGTGGATCTAGTCCACAATATACCAAGTATCTCAGACACGTGCTGCCAATATAACAGGTTTATTGATCATTTAGTTGATATGTAAATCACAGATGATAATCACAGATGTTGAGAATCATTCATTAAATTGGATTTGATTACACGTTTACTTGTGGGTGTTTTTATTCACAGTAACCTCTTTAACAATATTCTTTAATCATCTATCTATTCTCTATTCTTTTTAACTCTTTCCTGTTCTCTATAACACTCCAACTTCCCAATCTCTGTCTTAACTCTCTCAATTCAATGTCCTAACTCTCTCACTTCCATTTACTATCTCTCTCTGTCTCTCTAACTTTCCTCTTCTCTCTAACTCTCTAACTGTCCCCCTGACTCCCCAACTGTCCCCTCTAAATCCGCCCCTCCTGTCCTATTATAGGCTCCTGCACTTCAGCTCCATATGATGGACAGGAGTGATGTGGGCATTCCGCCACAGGACAAATTTTCTGTCACTGAAGAGATTCAATCAAGGCAGCACTTATGTCCCTACAACTTATGCCTCATCACGTGTATAAAAGAAGATCTAGTGAATAATCAAGATAATGCTGTTGAAAAAGAACAGAGTAGCAAATAAGTTGTATGAACTACTTTTACTCTTTAGAGGGAATTACTGCGTGGAACAGCACAGATTTTATAAGGACGCGGGGTTGCTGAAAGCCCTACAACAGGGTCTTGGTTGAGCTCTTTCACTCCTTCTGGCAGCTGGAAACGGAAAGTCCTCAACAGGCTGGTCAAGAAGATGAAGATCTCAATTCTCGACAGCTGTTCCCCCGGACACACCCGAGCCCCTGCGGAAGAGATAAAGGAGAGATAGTAAATGGGCAACAGCCGGTTTTCCAGGGAACCGTACCCCAGTCAGCAAGTAAGAAGTTAGCCCAGGGGTAGGATATTGGTTGGTGCTCAAAAGGGCATGGGTTTTCGCCATGGGACACCAATAGCTGATGCTAATCGTATGTCATTTCAAAGCAGATCATACTGAGGGCAATATGTCGGGCATGAAAAGCAGTGCGGGCTGTTTTCCATCTCAGCTGTACTAGACTGAAGGCACCCCCTGTTGAAATCTGATACTGAGTCAAAAATATAGAGTAAATGAAGTGGACCATAGGCTGGACTGCTAGTTATTCTAAGTGGCATGAGCTAGACATAAAAATGCAATAATGAGCCAAGGAAGAGACAATGTGAAAAGATAAAGAGATAATGTAAACCGTGTGTCTATATGAAGGTATAAGAGTTTATGAATAAGAAATTTACTATTATTGTAGCACCATAGGTATTGTTCTGTTTCGCTCTTTTGAATGGATTGAAAGAAAAATTTAAGAAAAAAACTTTACTAGACTGAAGGTATGGCCACATTTGTTAAAAACAACACAGCATATGCTTGGGACCAGCTGATTCTTATTTTTCCATTGATCATATGACGTGAAGTAGAAATTCAAATCTGAGCCCTCTGTTCATTTTGTTTGTTTGTTTCAAGTCAGACTTAACTGCTTTGTTTAAGGCAGGCCTGGATGGAAGTCAGATGGCATCTCAGGGGGCTTGACCTCAGAATGATCAGGACTGGGACCGCACCTTTCAAAACCTACTGACAAGATGCTGGTGGTGTGATGGAGAGGTGTAGTCTTAAAAGCTAAGACTTCCAGGTTCTTGAAACAATAGGGGTGCCAGGATAGATCCTATCCTGCAAACAACCCAGAGACCATGTTTGGACATTGCAAGCTAGTTAAAGGTGTGATCACACTGGGAAACAGATCACATTTTGGACCCACTTGCAGAGAAGTCTGGTGTGATCTATTTCCCAGTGATTAGAGATAAGACTCTAGATGTCAAGCTGGATAAAGACATTGGCAAAGCAGCTACCACGTTCTCTAGACTCACAAGGAGAGTATGGCTTAATAAGAAGCTGACGGCATAGACCAAGATCCTGATCTATAGAGCTTGTGTCCTGAGCACACTCCTGTACTGCAGTGAGTCCTGGACCCTTTGTGCATGGCAGGAGAGGAAGTTGAACACCTTCCATATGCCTTGTCTCAGACGCATTTTTGGCATCACCTGGCAGGACAAAGTCCCAAATAGAACAGTCCTAGAATGAGCTGGAATTTTTAGCATGTATATACATTACTGAAACAGTGACATCTACATTGGCTTGGGCATGTTGTAAGAATGGCAGACAGTTAGATTCCAAAAGATCTCCTATATGGAGAATTAGTGCAGGGAAATTGCCCAGACAGAGACCACAGCTGTGGTGCAAGGAGATCTGCAAGCGGGATCTGAACACCTTAGGAATGGACCTCAACAGATGGGAAACCCTGACATCTGAGAGTTCAGCCTGGAGACAGGCAGTGCATCGTGGCCTCTCCCAATTTGAATAGACCCTTGTCCAGCAGGCCGAGGCAAAGAGGCCGTCCCAAAACCAGCAAAATCAGCAAGCTGGACAGGGGACAGATTGTATTTGTCTTCAGTGTGGAAGGGATTGTCACTCTCAAATTGGCCTCCTCAGCCACACTAGACGCTGTTCCAAAACCTCAATTCAGAGCACGTTACCATAGACAAATGCTGAATCAGCCGTTCTTGCCCATCTCCCCTGTCGATCACATAATCTACAGGGAAATGCCCTCCAACCCCAAACCATGACCAAGCTGAACCTTTTTTGGTCCAGCCATTGTGCTTTTACTTTTGGGGGCCAGGCTGTAGAGATTCCCCAAGAGATGGAAGGATACTTTTAATAGCGGGCACTCCCTACAAACAACCCTTTTCGGCGCCACCCGGCACGCAGCTTTCCAGCCTTCTGATTGGATTTCTTGCCTCACCTGCACCAAAAGGAAGATATTCCTCTCTGGCCACAAAATTTCCATCCTCATCCAAAAAGTGATTTGGGTTGAATTCTTCAGGGGTCTCCCACTGCTCAGGATCAAGAAGGACAGAGCGCAGATTGGGTACAATCAGAGTTCCCTGGGGGGGGGGAGAAGAGAAAGGAGCATTTCAGCATGCACGTGAACATATGAAGGTCTGCTGGAGACCAGTCCCCTCTTCTAAAGTGTCCTCAGTTTTAAGCATTATCCAGCAAGGGTCTGAAGTAGGGCCCGGCCCCACTAAGGAAATAATAAATCAGGAGAGGATCATTGTTTTTGAATTCAGCATTAAATACATGATTTTTTGGACCGTGTCTGCATCCTTACCAACACAACCTGGGCAAAGGAGAAACACAGGCTGAAACTAGCTGCTCCTACCTCCTCCGGCTGCTACTCTTGCTCCACCGGTGGCCACCTGTCCTGCACCCCAGCCAGCAGAGCCGGCCCCACTTCCTCCCCTACATCATCCCCTATTAAGGGGCTGGACACTGGGAAGAAGCTAGCCCCACCAGTCAGCTGGCCATGGCTGCCGAAAGTGGACCACAATCTTTTAATTTTTAAAAAAATTATTGCTGTCTGGTATAGCACTGTATGTTCCTGATATAGCAGGAATTAAAAATAATAAGCCGGACTAAGAGGCACGTGGTGGCGCTGTGGGCTAAACTGCAGAAGCCTGTGCTGCAGGGTCAGAAGGCCTGGGCAAAGGAGAAAGACACAGGCTGAAAATGGCTGCTCCTACCTCCTCCAGCTGCTACTCTTGCTCCACCAGTGGCCACCTGTCCTGCACCCCAGCCAGCAGAGCCGGCCCCACTTCCTCCCCTACATCATCCCCTATTAAGGGGCTGGACACTGGGAAGAAGCTAGCCACGCCGGTTAGCTGATCAGGGCTTCAGAAAGCGGTCCACAATCTTTTAATTTTTTAAAAAAATTATTGCTGTCTGGTATAGAGCTGTAGTATGTGCCTGATATAGCAGGAATTAAAAATAATAAGACAAACTAAGAGGCATTCACGTAAGAGGCATTCACATATGTGGAATCTATTTCAATGAATCAATTCTACATCCACCTTAAAATACAGACCTCTGGTGGAGGAGTGGAAAAATTCAAAATAACACAATCCCCTGTCACATCCTAATATATGTGCCCATACCGTGTGTGTTCATCCAGTGGAGATCAGAGACCTTAAGGTTGCCCAGCCAAGATTAATACTCGGACAGCAGACTCAGTAGCTGTCATCGTAGGTCATCTATTCTATGTCTGCCTCATTCAGTTGAAATGTGTTATCGTTTGGTTTGCATTACTGTTTTCTCCTAATTTTGCATCACTCTATACAAATCGGGAGGTGCTGTTTTATGCAAATGTGTTTCTTTCTGTTTTTATGATCTGATTTAATTCCATTTCCTTTTCAAAAAAGCTTCTGTGCAAACAATAGCATATACAAAACATCTTTGTTTCTCTCTCCCCCAACCACCCACCCCACCTCAAGAATTTAAAATACCTGTTATTGTCTCCTTTCTTGAAACAGGCTGTCCCCATTTGACGAGACCAGTCTGGCATTGAGAGCTAGACCAACTAAATAAATAAATAAATCTCTTTCTTTTTTCTTGCCACAGACCCAACCCAAGCTTTAAAGAGCAGGCTTGTCCACTGCTTGTCCTTCTTGTATTCTGCTTGTTCCCTTTGAGTATTTCTATACTTCTAAATATTGCCTCTCAGTGACTTATGCTACCTTTGTATACTCATTTTTAAGTTCTTAAATATTGACTTGCAATGCTGTAAGCTGTCTTTTCTAAGGAGAAAGGCTGGGTAAAAATATTTAAAATTAAATAAATAAAATGTTCCTTTGCAGTGACACCTCTCAGAACAGCATATTGTGAGGCTCCTTGCTCCAACCTGAGATGTGGTGAGAAGATCCCCCCCCCATCGCAATATACCTTAGAATTTAGCAATTATATAAAGATAGCTCCAGCATATTGTGAGGCTCCTTGCTCCTGAGATGTGGTGAAGAGATCCCCCCCCGTCACAATATACATTAGAATTTAGCAATTATATAAAGGTAGCTAACATATTTCATATGTATAGCAAAGCCCAATATATAGTGTCCCTCAATGAGCCATGGGAAGACTGCCATTTTCTGAGAAGCTTAGAGACACATAACTTCCCAATCTTTAGCAAAGGTACCATAAAACAGAAGGAACATCAAAGGACCCACTGAGAAAATGATTTCAAAGGAATTTGCTGTCAACGGAACTTCGTGAGAAAGAACATTCAAAGGAATACCAATTTAAATTACCGATTTTATGGCCCTTTGAGTGTTTCCTATATATCAATATGCAATCTTTGGTTCTTACACACATTGCTGTCATAATTATGGCTGTTGTTTCTGACCAGTCTGAGTTAACCCTTCCCTAAACCCTCAAGATGCCTCATTCTCAATTCTTCAGTGAAATGTTCTCCACAGTATGATAGCAGCGCTAATTCTATTCCATACCTTGGGAATGACGAAACCACCCATGTGCACATCCTGCGCACATTGTCTCGGGACCCCAAGAATTAAGACGTATTTGACCCTCTGCATCTCATGAATCACAGCGTTCGTGTAAGGGAGTCTCTTTAAATCTCGATAGGAGATTATCTGAGAAGAACTCAAAACATCTTCTATCTCCTTGTGGACTTTAGCTGAGGAAAATGATAGAAAGGGATGAAAGGTATATTTTAAATATTACACACATAAAGTAATACATATATTACTTTCAGAAAAGTAAGCAACGATTACTTACAATGAGTAAACCATGATGGATACCGCATTTTTTCCATGTATAGAATGACACTTTTTTACTTTAATAATTAGGAAAAAAATTAAAGCTTGTTTTATACATGGAATGTAGCCGCTTTCCCTGCCTTTTATGAAGCCACAGGGTAAAGGGCTTCAGGACCAAAGGGGTGCAATTGTGCAAATTTTCAAATTTTCTAATTTGGGGGTTAGAAAAGGGGGAGTCGTCTTATACATTGCGTCATCTCTACTTCATTTCTACTTCAATTAATTGTTCTGTTACTGAATCCTGAACGAATGTCAGTTTATTATCTTTCTATCTGCTTTTCAGCGGAGAAGCTCAAGTGAATTTCATGGTTTTATGGAAATATTAACATGGTTTTCCCCATAGAACTCAAACAACATTCTAAAAACTTTGATCCTTAATTAGCAGGTCAAGACAATTATTGGATATTATCACCATACCATAGATGGAAAAAAAACTAACAGGAGAAAACAGTGAAGACTACTTTGCTATTTTAAATTGAATTGAATTTTGGCCCAATTCTCAATCCTTAGAGTCTCTCTCCTACTCATAGAAATGTAAATCAGCAGTACTGTGTTCTGGTTTAACCAACAATAGAGCCCTGTATAGCTGGCTGGCTAGCTCAGTGAGTTGGGCATCTAGATGTGGAGCTAGAAGTTGGGAGTTAGATTCCCTGCTGTGGATCCCAGGATCCCTTCATAAATCTCTCTCACCTTGGATTTCTGGGTATCTTGTCAGAAGGAGCAGTGCCCATCTCAGAGAAACAGCAGTCGTTTCTGTTCCAGCGAAAAAGAAGTCATGGATACATTGAGCCAGGTTTTCTTCGTTAAAGGCAGAGTCAGGGTCATCCTTGCTCTGGTGTGGACCACGGACAAGAGGAACCAATATAAATGAGAAATTACAAGCTGCCACTCAACCTTTCCTTTTCCTTTGCATCCCTCTGTTATCCTAGGAGCAAATCATGTTCCCAAACTGAGTAAAAAGAGATCTAATTTGTGAAAGAATAAATGAGATATAAAACAGTCTTCGTTCAGACAATGTGTTGCTATCAGACCAATAAAATCCAGGAGGGACATCTGGATGCTGACTCACTGCTTCCTGACACCTCAAAATGATTTTCAGAAAAAACTCTTTGTAAAATTCTTTTATAGCTGCATGAGTAGAATGGATGGATTGGGATTGGAATATTCTAAAATATTCAAAAAGATTGCATTGACTTTTTCCCTCTACACTTAATGGTTCTTTAGGAGTGAAACTTGGGAAGGATTTAATGCAGATTTTATGAAACATCATGACTATTCCATGTGGCTGGTGGTATCCCAGCAGGTTTTGCTCTCCCGTCACCACAGAGAATACAACAATGCCTTGGAAAACAGTTTTGAGACACAATCTGCAGTGTGTACCTACTTTTTCCATCTCAAGGAGATAGAAGTCAATGAAATCCTGGGGGTCGTGCAGGGACTGTTGCTCCTTATGCTTCTCGATTTCCTTCCTTGCAAAGGAAAGTGTTACCTTCATATCGGACAAGGCCTTCTGATGAGGTCCTGGGAGATGTTTCATGAGCCATGGGAACATTTCATACAGCTTCAGGGAAAGCAAAAAATGAGTCACTGTCCTATCTTGAAGAGAGCATGGATGGATGGATGGATGGATGGATGGATGGATGGATGGATGGTTGATTGGTTGGTTGGCTGGCTGGCTGGCTGGCTGGCTGATTGATTGATTGATTGATTGATTGGATTGGATTTTTATACCGCCCATCTGGCTACTAAGGCCACTCTGGGAGGTTCTTTTGCCATGTCAGCACCTGTAAAATGTTCTAAATGTGGTGCCTTGGCCATTTGAGAACCACTTGTCCTAAGTTGGCTGCTAAATTCCAAAAGAACGTTGTGCCTCCAGTTTTAAATAATTCCACAACCTGGCAGTGCCTTGTACAGCAGGACCCCTATATCTGCAGGACATCAGTTCCAAATCCCTTCATGTATCCTGAAAAACGTAGATTACAGTGAATGCTATTATAATTTTTGTTGTTGTTGTTTAGTCATTAAGTCATGTCCGACTTCTCGTGACCCCATGGACCAGAGCACGCCAGGCCCTCCTGTCTTCCACTGCCTCCCGGTGTTTGGTCAAGTTCATGTTGGTCGCTTCGGTGACACCGTCCAACCATCTCAGTCTCTATCATCCCCTCCTCCTCTTGCCTTCACACTTATAATAGGGAATACTATACATAGTATGGTCTTTGACTCTCTCCAGTGGCCAGTTCTAGTAATGACATTGTGGAAATATATTTCTCTAGCAAACAGTAGACATAGCATAGCTCCCTCGTGTGACTAGATCTGGTAACTTCATTGTTATATACAGTGGTGCCCCGCTTGATGACGATAATCCGTTCCAGCAAAATCGCTGTAGAACGAAATCGTCCTCAAGCGAAAGTAAAAAGCCCATTGGAATGCATAAAAACCGGTTAATGCGTTCCAATGGGCGAAATACCTCACCGTCCAGGGAAGATCTTCCATAGGACGGCCATTTTCCAGTGCCTGTATAGCGAGGAATCCATCCTTAATACAGTGGGGAGGCATTTTGCATAGCGGGGAGCCATTTTGAAAACCCGATGATCAGCTGTTTTTGATCGTCGTGAAGTGAAAAATCGGTTCCCGAAGCAGGGACCGATCGTTGTCAAGCGGATTTTCCCTATTTACTTGTCGTAAAGCGGATTCGTCATGGAGCAGGGTATTCGTCAAGCAGGGCACCACCAATATATATATAACAATGAGCCATGGGAATATTGCATACAGAATCCCTGCCAAAACAATGGTGTGGACTTTTAAAGAAGGAGGTAGAGTGGAAATATGATTTAGCTCGTATACTGGGGAGCAGCAAAGTTTTCGAGCAGCGATGTGCTTGATGGTACGGCAGCCTCCTTCCTTCCCCCATCCCTCCAACATCAGAGGAGGTAACCTTTCCACACTCAATACCACTGCTGTGGCTGCATAAGTAAGCATCTGTCCCCCTGTCTTGGCCAGCGAATTCAATTGTTTCCCCCCTCCCCTTAGCTGATCATCTGCAGATTAGACTGAATGAGGGAGAAACAGCTCTATGCTTCCCTCACAAATTCAAAATTAATTTAGGAAACAACTAATCACCCTCTCCAATATTTACACAGTGATGACAGAGATACTGGAGAGCCCACATTTTAGGTAAAAAGCATGCTATTTATGTACCATTCCATAGTGTTTAAAGCAGTTTATAAGTTAATAAGCCGGCTACACAGTGTACTCATTTTACTCATTTTCCAGAAGAGTGGAAGGCTGAGTGAACCTTGAACTGGCTAGGTGGGATTGAACCCTGGGTTGTGAGCACAGTTTTAGCCACAGTAAAGCAGCTTCCATGGGGTCATGAAGAGTTGGACACAACTTAACAACTAAATAACAATAATAGCAGCTTAATCACTGCACCATGAGGTTCTTGTGCTCCCTGCACTATAGTCTTTTTCCCAGTCCTCTAAGATCTCTGGGAGATCTCTAGCTTCTTGCCAATATAGGAGGACCCCTTTTCCACACTGATTTGCTTATCCAAAATCTGAAAACATTGAAAACACTCCCTTACTTCTCCTCTTGAGAGTTCGCACATTTGTAGGATCTTTGCAGAATTTCAAAAAGAGCACCATATATCGACATATGATGAAAAATATGGAATTGTTTTATTGCATTTTGGGAGAATGACTAAGCAGAAGAAGAAAGGCTGAGTCATTCTGGCTGGCATTTAGCCAGAACGAGGTGACGTGTCTGCGCATGTGCAGTGCTCCATCTGCTGAATCAGCAGTGCATCATATTCAGGTATATAGAAAGGATGCTAGGAACGCTTTGTGTTGTTGGGTTATTCATGGAGAAGCAGCTTGTCACTTGGTCGATCAGCAGCTTGGATTTTGGACTGGGCTGGGCTGTGATTATCTGGACTGCCGATTCTGAAGAGGTCATTGTATGTATATATTTTAGCAAATACAGCTCTGATGGTGAAGGGAATTCACTCTGAGTCCTGTATTTTCATTTTCTCTTTTCAGGGCTCTATGTTTGGAGTTCCTATACCTAAACAAACACTATAAACAGCTCTGCACTACTCTGTTAGGAAGCTATTCTGTCACAGTGATAAAGAAGATTACTCACGATATGAAAAAAGCTACTGAGAAATTTCAAAGTGTTATCAACAGCTTCAGCCAGTTTCTGGAAGCTTTCGTCTTCAAGAGAAAAACGGTGTCCAAAGGTCAGGGCGCATATGATGTTCGAGACAGAATTGACGATGGGCAAGAAAGGATCAAAGGGCTGACCTGCAGACAAATTTATGTTGCCATTAATTCAGTTCCTCCTGTTTTTATTGTGGGATTTTCTACTTATTTCACTGTATAAAATCTAATTCAAAAATATAACTGTCTGTAACAGAGTGCACACAAATACTTCTAGTCTACGCTCTAATCAGTGGTGTAGTGATACATGTTGAAGCCTAATCAGGACATTCTCTGTAACCATCACTTATCTGTATGGAGAGTCTAAAAATGCAGGCAGATTGATTGATCCTATTAAACAAGCGAAGGGGGGTGTCTTTTGGAGGGTTAAGAACTTTTTGCTGCCATTCAAGACAAAACCACATTCGAAAACTTTCCATCATAAGAGCGACCTCTTGCAACAATATACTGTACCATATTTTTCGTGTATAAGACACCCCCATGTATAAGACACCGACCACTTTTATAACCCAAAATTAAGAAATCTAAGTGGGGTTAAGCACAATATATTATTCCTCAAAAAAATCTATTTCTCTCCCAGATCCTGGGACCATCGCTGCTAAGGGAGAACAGGAGAGCACGAGAGTAAAGGTGACGGTTGTCACTACAGAAAACTCCTGCCTTTTGGCCCCGTCAGCACTCTCTGCACCATACTGCTGCTCCTCCTACCACCTACCCTTTGCACATGCAAAAGTCTCCGCCAGCTGCTGGGCTTCTGAGAGTAAAGGTGACTGTTGTCACTACGAAAACTCCTGCCTTTTGGCCCCGTGAGCACTCTCTGCACCACACTGCTGCTGCTCCTATCACCTACCCTTTGCACGTGCGAAAGTCTCCACCAGCTGCTGGGCTTCCTCTTCTATTTGATGCTCCATGCCTTTCTTCCCCAGTCCCATCTTCCGCAGAGTAACCAAAGCGAAATGTCTCTGCTCCTTCCAGATGTGGCCGTTGGAACCGACGATACCTTTGACCGTCAAAAATCAATAAGAAATGTTACAGAATTCCCCTTCGACCCTCTTGGAGAGAAAGGCAGGGTATAAGTCATGTAAATAAAGAAATCCTATTAAAATGATAAGGTTGCCAGCCTTGAAGATGCCACAGCCGTAGAACTGAAGAATGGCCCATTATGAAATATGTTCTTAATGGAGGATTCATTTCTGCCTTGTTCAAGAGCATGAAGTCACAGAGACCACCACAGCTTGATGCAGAATCCGCCTGAAGGACGCATTTTGTCCATTGTCATAAAGCTACGCACATGCACGCCTGGTGCTTCCTTCTGCCTCATCCATGAGCTTTCCACACAGACTCCTCAAACTAGGAAGATCTTGGTCAATCTAAGTTGATGCCATCTTTGTTGTCTCTTGATCTTCAGTAATGTGGGTGTCTCTTGATCTTCAGTAACTGCGGGTGGGGGTAATCTTGGTGCCTCACAAGATGGCTGGTAAGTCAAGTTTGATGGCTATTATCAGAATTCACTTACTAATATTATCTTGGGTTGACTGAAACTTCCATAGAGATGTCTTTTGTCTTCCCCTGATCCTCCCCTCCCTCTTTCTCTTTGGGATGAACCAAATGTGAACTTACAACTTACCCTTTTCTTTTCCTATAACTTTAAGGAAAGGAGTCGATGGTCGCTCAGAAAATTCTTCCGAATGGTCCACCAGTCCTTCTTTCACAGCTTGGAAGCCTGAGAGGACTACGACAGGCATATGTCCCAGCCACAGAGTGTAAATATTTCCATATTGTTTTGCCAACTGCATTTAGATCGATGTAGAAGAAATAAAAATTATAACCAAGCAAAATAGATCATTTTAGATTCACACATGGCTGTCAGCCATCTTTTGTTTCCCGTATCTGAGACTTCCAGTAATCTGCTCCTTCGCCCCCTCAGACCTCCAAGTTTTCTGCCAAGATCTCCCTTCGTTCTCCTGGAACAGGCCTTTCTTCCATTCTTCCTCCTATTTGCCTCACCCTTGACCAGGAACACAGCAGTTCAGCCCTTTGTGGTAAAAAGCAGGCAAGCCAGGAACTTGCCAAAGTCTTCTTCACAACCGCCCACCCATCCGTGTATTCTAATGTGGCCTTCCGGGACCACTGAAGCATGGTTTAGGTGCCTGGCTATGAAGCCTGAGGTCGAGGGTCCCATTCCCCACTGTGCTGTCTTGACAAGGGCTGAACTCGATTTTCCCTCAGGTCCCTTCCAACTCTGTAGTTCTAAAATTATTTTTATTATTATACAGTAGAGATGCTGTGCTAGGAGGCCTCTTTGTCACCCCACAGGAGAAGGCAAGGGCATGGCGTGGCAACGTTATGGCTCTCTCATATTATTGTTGCTGGAGGTGGAGACAGAAGGCTTACATGATCTTCCCCCATCATCACCACCACCACCACAACAGCCTGATAGATCGACTGGCTGGCCCACCTTGTGAGCTCAGGGTGAGTGATTCTGGATCTGGGCCCAGAAAAGGTTGGTTCACCATCTCCAGAAAATAGCTCACATTGGACTGTGTCACAACCTGTCCAAAATGTGAATTTTGTGCCCATTTGATTGGCCCCTTTGGCTCACAAGGGAAGTGATGGAGGGGTAGACCAAACAATATGAAAAGGACCACATAGTTGTACTGTAGCATATCTGGTATGTATTGATGGTGGGAACCCATTGTGAGTGTTCTGTGCCATCAAGTTGGAACCAATTTATAGTGACCCTAACAGGGCTTTCAAGGTATGTGAGATATTTAAGGTATGGTTTTTAGCAGTTCCACTCCCGCAGTGAGTTTCTATGGCTGAGCAGGGATTCAACCTCTGTTCTCCAGAGTCCCAGCCCATCATTCTATCTCATATATTGATGGTGGGAACCCATTGTGAGTATTCTGTGCCATCAAGTTGGAACCAATTTATAGTGACCCTAACAGGGCTTTCAAGGTATGTGAGATATTTAAGGTATGGTTTTTAGCAGTTCCACTCCCGCAGTGAGTTTCTATGGCTGAGCAGGGATTCAACCTCTGTTCTCCAGAGTCCCAGCCCATCATTCTATCTACTATATTATATGGGGAGTTCCAAGAACCCATTTGTGGGAGTGCCCTCCCCAAGGTTGCTAAGCCACATTGTTGTTGTAGTGATGGCATACCGTCCTAGCAAGATGCGGCTGCTTCTGAGAGGCGTGGCTACCCATTCTTCCTCTTTCTCATAGTGATAGAGAGCTAACTTCAAAGCCTTTATTTGGGCCAATCCTAAATTGGCATTATGTAACCATTGTCCTATCTGTATACTGTCAACTATCTGTGACCTTGTAAGTTTAATAAAAGAGAGTCCTCCTGGGGGCGTGGTAAACAAGTCGCCCATCCGGAGCACTGCCGGCAGACATCCTTGTGTGTGTGGCTGACTTCTTTAGCTCCTCTCTCTAAGACTATCTGCTATCCTAATTACTTGTGATCACATAAACTATCAACCTTCTCATTTCGTGACCCTACACCCATTAATCACAGTCATGAAACATCAACATGTCTTGAAAGAGTGGGAGACAGGATCCAAAGACAGAATGAAAAGAAGGATGATGATGATGAAAGATGATGCCTTGAAGGGTTAGTAGGTTATCAGTGAGAAGGAACTGCTGAAATCTGAGCAACCCTGGATGAAGGGTCCAATGGGTGACTAAGTGCCTGGGGGCCGTACTGCAGTGGATGTAGGAAAATGGGCTGAGGCTGAACCCGGACAAGACGGAATTTCTGAGGGTGGGCGCCCTTGGGGTTGGTGGCCTGGGTGGCTCTCTCACATTTGGGGGGGGGTGACCCTGGCTGCTACGAATGGGGTTCACAGCCTGGGGGTACACCTCGACCTGACACTCACCATGGAAACCCAAGTGGTGTCAGTAGTTCGCACTGCCTTTTTCCACCTTTGGCGGATTGCCCGACTGTGACCCTACCTTGACATGGGGGCGCTCACTACCTTGG